ACCAGTTAATAAAGCTATTATTCAAATTAATAAACTAACACTATGGTGACTTAGTAAGGAGTTGCACTGCCTACTCAAAGGTACACAGTTCAAATTCACTAGGTGCTCTGGGGAAGGAAGGTGGGTAATCTCCTTCCATGTGATTTATTGCCTCTGGAAAATCTGTTGGAGGTTGAACTGAGTCATCTCCAACACAACAGTACATACCAACAAAAAAAACCATGTCAAAGATGGAGAAATTGAATATTCTTACCATCTTCTGCAGTCTGAAACTGATCAAACATGTAATCAAGATGAGTTGGTAATTACTGGTAATTGGAATGGGAATGCCAGAAGGATTGTTGTTGTTGTTGTTATGTGCCGTCGAGTCGCCTGCGACTCATAGCGACCCTATGTACAACAGCCCTAAACTCCTCTCTGTCCTGTGCCAATCGCACTGTCTCTGACACTCCCATCCCAATTATCCCAGTCACTGAATCAATCCACCTCATAGAGGGCCTTCCTCTCCTGCGCCGTCCCTCCACCCTCCCAAGCATGATGTCCCTCTCCAAGGACCGGTCTCTCCTCACTACATGTCCGAAGTAAGTTAGACGGAGCCTCAGAATCCTTGCCTCCAAGGAGCCACCCGGTTTAACCCTCTCCAGGACAAATCTATTTGTTTTCCTAGCAGTCCATGGTATTCTCAATACTCTTCTCCAGCACCACAGCTCAAAGGCATCCATTCTCCTTCTATCCTCCTTGGTCATTGTCCAACTCTCTGATGCATAACAGGTGATTGTGAAGACCATGGCCTGTATCAGACGCACCTTAGTCTCCAGAGAGACAGCACTGCTCTTCAGCACTTTGGAGAGGTCCCTAACAGCAGACTTTCCCATGGCAATGCGCCTTTTAATTTCCTGGCTGCTGGTGCCAAGACTGTTGACTATGGAGCCAAGCAAACGAAAGCTGTGTACAATCTCAATTTCTTCACCATCCATCCTGATGCTGCCAATTGGTCCAGTGGTGAGAATCTTTGTCTTCTTGACATTGAGCCTCAATCCATATTGTAGGCTGCAGTCCTTGACACTCTGCAGCAGGGGCTTCAGGTCCTCCTCAGTTTCAGCAAGCAGGGTTGTGTCATCCGCATAACGCAGATTGTTGATAAATCGTCCACCAATCCTGACCCCACATTTCTCCTCATAGAGCCCAGCCTCCTGGATAATCTGTTCTGCATATAGGTTGAAAAGGTATGGAGATAGGATGCATCCCTGGCGTACTCCCTTCCCAATTTTGAACCATGCAGTGTTCCCTTGCTCTGTTCTGATGACTGCCTCCTGGTCCAAGTATAAGTTTCACATTAGAATGATCAAGTGTTCTGGGATTCCCATTCTTCTCAGAGTAGCCCGGCTAGCTCAGTCGGTAGAGCATGAAACTCTTAATCTCAGGGTCGTGGGTTCAAGCCCCACGTTGGGCGTTGGGCCGGAAGGATTAGTAATTAGAAAACATGGCCTTGGGCATAGAAATGACTGGGGATGGCAAACTGGACAAATGCAAGACCAACAATGTACTCATTGCAAATACTTTGTCAACAACATTAATGGTAACTGTACAGTTGGGCCTCACCAAATGGAATACACAGTGATCAAACTGACTAGATGGAAAGAAGTAACAGAGAAACTCAATATTGTCTGCTAGAACAAGGCCAGGGGTTGACTGTGGAATACACTATTAATTGTTGATATGTAGGTTCAAGTTAAAGCTGAAAATAGTGGAAACAAGTCCATAAAAGGCAAAGCATAACTTTGAGTGTTGTTGTTGTGTACCATCAAGTCACAACTGATACACAGCTGACCCTCCAGCATGTTTTCAGAGCCAGTAATCACACAGGAGGAGATTGCCCATACTTCCCCCGTGGAGCAGCTGAAGGATTCGAACTACAAGCCTTCAGGACTACAGCACAGATTCTTACCGCTCGGCCACCACCAGAGCTCCCTAAACTTTGAGTAGACACCACCTAAATTTAGAGACCATCTCAAGAGTAGTTTTGACACACTGACCTCTAATCACTGAAGATCAGGTAACCTGTGAGATGACATTTATAGAATCACACTTGAAGAAACGGCCATGAAAAGAGACAGGAAAAATAGAAAAATCTAAAATGGAAGTCAGAAGAGACTCTAAAATTTAGCATGTAGAGTTGCCAAAGCAAATGGGAAAAATTATGAAGCAAGAGAACGTAACAGAAGATTTCAGAGTACAGCTGGAGAACATAAATCATAGCATTATAAAAAATGTGCAAAGGCCTCAAATTAGAAAACCAAATATGAAGAACATGCTCAAATAGCTCAAGCTGAAAGAACTTAAAAAAAATAATTATGCCTGAAGTTGCAATAGTGAAGGAGTCTATGGGTGAAATGCTGAATAATAGGAATCATCAAGCTAACTGGTCTCTGTTTAACCATTTTAAGAGGCTGCATATAATTATGAATTGATGGTCCTGAAGTAAGAGGTCCAAGGTGCTGGTAAAAACAAGGCTGCAGGACTTATCAGAATACCAGCTTCCACAAACTAACAGCCATAGAAGCACTCGCTCATCTATGTCAAGCCATCTGGTAACCAATGGATTGGAAGAGATCTATACTTGTGCCCATTCTTAAGAAAAATGATCTAACAAAAGGCATAAACTATCAAACAAAGAATATAACACATAAGTAAAAGTTTTCTGAGGTTAACGAAAAAAACAGCTGCTGTAGTACCATGACAGAGAGCAACGTGCAATTCAAGCTGGACTGAGAAGAGAACATGGAAAGGGGGATATGATCACTGACATCTGATGGCTATTGGCTGAAAGATCCTGTTTACTTGTGTTTTATTGTCTATGCAAAGCCATTCAACTGTATGTGTCATAATAAATCATGGACAACATTGCAAAGAATGAGAATTCACAACATTTAGTAGTTGTTTACGTGCAATCTATACATATACCAAGAGCAGAACAAGAGCGTACTGCATGGTTTAAAACCAGGAAGAATGTGCATCACGGATCTCTGCACCATAGTTATTCAATCTGTGTGCTGAGTACATAATTTTAAGAAGATGGACTGTGTGAAGAATATTGTGGCATCAGGAACGATGAAGACTTATCAATAATTTGTAAGATGCAGATGACACAATGCTGCTTTCCAAAAGTGAAGAGAACTAGAAGCATTTACTGATGACAATCAATACTTTTAGTATAGATCATACCTTCACAAGAGGACAAATCCTCACTAATGGACTGATAGACAACATAATGATAAAAAGATAAGAGACTGTCGAAGATTTCTTTTTAATTTAGATCTCCGATCAACAGCCATGAAAGGGGTAGGCAAGAAATCAAACAAAGTATTACATTGAGTACATCTGCTACAAAAAACTTCTTTAAAGTGTTAAGAGGGAACTCTGGTGGCCTAGTGGTAAGGAGCTGTGCTGCAATCCCAAAGGTACACAGTTCATATCCACCATTTGTTCCGAGGAAGATATATGGGCGGTCAATCTCCTCTCATGCAAATAAACTATCTCTGAAAACCCGCTGCAAGGTCAGCTATGGGTTGGTTCTGAGTCAAGGATAAAAAACAACAAATTGTTAAAAAGAAAAGATGTCACTTTGAGGATAAAGGTGTGCCTGAACCAACTGATAGTATTTTCAGTTACTTCATATGCATATTAAAGCTGGACAATGGCTAAGGAAAACAAAAGAACTGATGCCTTTGATTTACAGTGTGGATGAATACGATTTAATGCACCACAGACAGACTGTCAGAGGAATGAACAAAGCTATCTCAGAATGAAGTACTTCTAGAATGCTTCTTGGAAGCAAGGATGACAAGATTTCACCTCAAGTCCTTTGGACATGCTATTAGGGGAGACTAGTCACTGGAGAGGGAGCTTATGTGGTCTAGTGGTGGAGATGATGTGGAGAAAGAGGAACTTTCATATACTGGAGTATAACCACTCCAGAAGGCAGTTTGGCATTTCCTTAACAACTTTAACATAGAGATTCCATATGACCCAGCTATCCCACTGCTAGGAATATACCCCCCAAAAATTAGAACTGGGACAGAAATAGTGATTTGTACACCAGTGTTCATAGCAGGGTTATTCATCATTTCAAGAACATGGACACAGCTCAAATGTTCAACCATAAGCAAATGGATTGAGAAATTGTGGTACATTCACAAGAAAGAATACTACGTAGCACTTGGGAACAAATATTTTGGAAAAATACTACATTACCTGGGAGAGATTGGAGTGCATTATGCTGAGTGAACTAACTCAGTCTCATGAGGACAAATACTGCATAAGACCATAACTGTGAAAAAAGAAGTATAACTAGTAAAAGGGGTGGAAGCTGAGGGGTAAGGGTAAGGATAGGGGGAAATCACAGAGTTGTACAATTTGGTGGTTGGAGGGAGGGTGCAAGGAAAAAGGGAAATATCTGGTGGGGGTATTTGTGGTAATAAAAAACAGGGTAACGGTGGGCATAATTCAATGATGATTACTTTTATAAAACATAATGTATGGGAATGATTATATGAAACACAATGTCAATGAATGAAAATGTGAAACACAATGTACATGAATTACGTATGCAAAGCAATTTAAAAGAAAATTTTTTAAAAAGAAAAAGTTAGTTGCTCAGTTCTGCATTTAGTTTCCCTGAGTCTAAGAAGGCTGTAATTCCAATAAGCTGAGAAGTTTTAGAGATGATGAGTTTTCTTGTTTGCTCCTCCACAGGGGAAGATTTTGATGGACGGCTTTTCTCTATTTAAATATGTTCCCCTTGCCTGAGCACCCCATGCTGTTTTATCGGCAAAGTCTTACTAATTTAATCTAAAAGAAAATGACAGAAAACTTCAACATGAAATAGTCAAAACATTCCTCCCCTCCAATTATTTAATACCATAGATGGTTTATCTTTGCACAAGTCATAGGAGTCTGAGTCTTGTTTATAAATTAGTCAAAGGTAATAACCAACTTACATGAAATACTGCACCGTATAAAGAGCTTCAATTCCTGTTAGGCCCTCCGGTGGATTCCAGTGTAGGACATTCTTCATGTTGATGGATGAGAAGATGATGTTTGTCGGTTTGGGCAAACCACCAGAGACACAGGGAACTGAAAAAGAGCAGAGAGGGACTGACATCTTAGTGAATGAGAAGAAAACATGACCTGTGAGATCAGTTTTGAGAAATGGGACCCAACGAAGCCCACCTTCTAGTGCTCACCCCCTTGAAGACTCCCTCCCAATAAGCCGTGACTCACTCCAACTAGCAAAACCTGGCAGAAAGGGCTCTCAGACTCAGCCTTCAAAAAAAGTCTACGAGCTGAGCTTCCTTGTGGAAGTCCTGAGACTGCCCTTTGACACTCTGCATGAGAGTCTCCAAAGACTCATGTTTTCAGCCAAAAAACAAATAGGCCTATAAGGTGATCAATAACATGAGGGAAGCATGTACTTTGGACAATCAACCCTATAAAAGTAAAAGAGCACCATTTGCCCACGGGTGGCCTAGTGGTAAAGAGC